CACGTTTCTGAATATTACTGACAAAGCTTATCAAATACATAGTACTTCCAAAAAAAAAAAAAAAATACTGACAAAGCTTATCAAATACGTAGTACTTCCAAAAAAAAAAAAAAAAAAACTTGTAGTATGATAGTACAGTTAAATTAAAAATACAATAAAAATACATACTACAACAGGTTCGTACAAGTCTTTTTCGGAATTTTAAAACTAAAAAAGACTAAAAGACACCATCCGAGGGGCCTTGCCCCAGTTCTCACCAAATGTGCAAAATGAGAATGAATCTTCCGCTAGAACATGGGAAGATACACCGCCATATTTTTTGTCTTTTGTGCATGTGGATAGAGTAGTGCAGCTCTCTCACCACCACTGGGATAGAGGCCTTGCACAAGGGCCTTAAAAAAAAAAAAAAAAAAAAAAAAGCGAGGCCCAACATCTCTTGACTACCGATTGCCAATACCAATGTGCTGGCCTCGATCCACTCACTCGCTGGCACCAACCGCGAAAAAGACAAAGTGCACATGGCGATTTGCACCTTCCCACTTTCTACGTGAAAATACATTCACTTATATACATCAGTAGAAGAGCGGGGCTCATCGCCTTTCCCAGAGTTGCACTTCCTCCTCCCTCTCTTCTCCTCCTCTCCTCTTCCTCGTCTGTTCTTCTCGTCCTCTTCTTCCTCTAGTCTCCCTCTTCTCCTCTTCCTCTTCTCTTCTTCGCCTCCTCTTCGCCTCCTCTTCTCTTCCTCCTCTTCTCCTCTTCTCCTCTTCTTCTCCTCTTCTTCTCCTCATCTTCTGCTCCTCTTTTTCTCCTCTTCTCCTCCTCTGCTCCTCTTCTCCTCTTCCCCTCTTCTCCTCTTCTCCTATTCTCCTCCTCTTCTTCTCCTCTTGTCCATACTCCTCTACTCCTAATCATCATCTGCCTTTCATACCAATATTATACATATATAGGATGACGATATTTACTAATACATATGTATATATACCACTTTTCCCTTTCTGCCTCCTTTTCACCAGGCAGTTCCCTCTGGCGATACACATACAAATGCAATTACCATCAGTCAATTTTTCACAGAGTTGCCTTCACTCGGAACTCAAGTCCGCTCTTTTCATTATATCCCACGAAAGAGGAATTACATACTGTATATATATATATAGATAGATATACGTATATATCGTCACAAACAGAACTGCCCGGTAAACCGTAGGCAGAGAGAGAGAAGAGGACAACAAACGAGGGGCTGTGACAAACTGTTTCGTCGGAGTTTCACCGACTCATCAGGAGGCTGAACCCTCAACA